ATGGAAAGCTAGACATGGCTATTTGATTAGTGGTTTCAAGTATTAGATGTCAAGGAGGCAGAATGTGTGTAAGACAAGGAATAGCAGAAGAGATACCCCTGTGTTTTTTGTTCGTTGATTTTGTTTTGATTGGATTTTTGCAGTTCTTGAGATTGAATTTGAGGCCTCAGGCAAGCTAGGTAAGCACTTTAACATTTAGCAATATCCCCACTCCATGAGATACTCGTATGTTTATAGAATAACCCTTGATTTTGGTAACAGTTATACAAATATACACGTGATAATATTCCATAGAAGGACACATGCACACTAATGAAATCACAATAAACTGTGAACTAATAAATAATTGTAGATCATACCAAAGTAAATTTTGTGCTTTTGTTACAATATTACATTTACAAAAGATATTGGTATTGAGAGAAACCTGGAGAAGGTTACAAGAAATTCTGTTTTGTAACACACTATGATTCTATAACAGATTCTAAATAATTTTTTATATAAAGGTAATTTAAAGAAAATGTAGTCAGATGTTTCTTGCTTTTCTCATTTTAATTTAGAACCACAGATTATATTATATAACCAAATTATATTTTTCACTTTACATATTTTAAGTTCATCATAGAGAACATGTGTAATTATATTTGAATTTTAACTGATTTAACACATTAATACCTTTTAGAAAATAATAATGTTCAGAAAATACATTAATACCTTTTAGAAAATAATAATTTTCAGAAAATACATTTCCAAACACCTGCATAGTCTGAAATGTTACTACATCTGATAGATTATCTAAGAATATCAAAGAGTATCTAAGAATATCTCAGGAAAAAAGAAAAAGAAACAACTAATTGAATAGAGCATATTTAAATTATTATAATGCCAGTTTTTAGCCACAAACATCTACCAAGCTGAAATTTGTGCATAGAAATATAGTAATACTATGTTTTACATGAGATATAGTTTAGATTCTTATGTTTAAAGGATATTAAAATAATTATCTATTCATCTGTAGCCTATGAACTCATTTTATAAGACCAAGAATCAACAAGTGGGAAGACATCTAATTAAAAAGGGTATGCATATCACAGGAAACGGATGTAGGCCTAGAGAGACTTCAGGATGAAGAAGATCTTTGCCACCTACTCCTTGGGAATTAATACCCAGAATAGATAAAGAACTCAAAAAACTTAATACACACACAAAAACACACACACATACACACACACAAACAATTAACAAATGGGCAAAAGAACTAAACAGACGCTTCTTGAAGAAATACAAATAGCTAATAAATATATAAAAATATGTTCAACATCTCTAGAAGTTAGAGAAATGTAAATCAAAACTACATTGAGATTTCGTCTCCCTGCACTTGGAATGGCAATTATCAAGAATATAAATAATAACCACATTAGATACAATGACAAAAAAATGGGATCCTGATTAGAATGAGTTATACACATGTATGTATATGAAAATACACTTTACTGTCATCTATAGCTAAAAGAAAAAATAAAGAAAGAATACAACGAATAAATGCTGGCAAGGATGTGGGAGAAAAGGTACACTCATACATTACTGGTGTGAGTGCAAATTAATATAAACATTCTGGAAAGCAATATGAAGATTCCTCAGAAAACTAAGAATGGAACAACCATATGACATAGCTATCACACTCCTCATCATGTATCCAAAGGACTTGAAATCAGTTTACTAGAGTGACACAGCCACATCAATGTTCATAGAAGCTTAATTCACAATAGCTAAGCTATGAAACTAACCTAGGTGTCCTTCACTAGGCGAATGGATAAAGAAAATGTGGATCATATACACAGGGGAATATTACTGAGCCATATAGAAGAATGAAATTGTGGCATTTGCCAGTAAATGGATGGATCTGGAGACTATCATGCCAAGGGAAATAAGTCAGTCCCCAAAAGTCGAAGGTTGAATGTTTTCTCTGACACATGGAAACCAATCCTAAATAAGGGGGGATTAAAAGTACAAGAAAGAAGAAAGAGCAGTGGAGTAAATGAAGGGAAATGAAGGGAAGGGAGGAAGGGAGGAAGGATGGGATTGTGAAAGACAGTGTTATGAATCTGACCTAACTTTTATATGTACATATATGAATATACCACAGTGAATTTTACTTTTGTGAATATCCATAATTCTCCAATTGAAAAAATAAATAAAATAAGAAAGATCAGTAGAATAGAGAAAAGGGGACAGGGGAAGTTGGAGGAGAAAAAGCAGATATTCTGTTTTACTAAAACAGTTGATTTGAAACTAAAAATGTACAGTTTGATAATTCATATTGGATTCAGTTGAAATGGACATTGCTATAAGGAAATACAGATTATATATACTTTTATACATATGCATATTAAACTCTAATGCAAAATGCAAATTATCATTTTAGAGTGTATTGCACTATCACCCCACTTTACAAAGTGAAGAAGGAGGTGGGCTATATGAAGCAGACTTTATCACTACTTTGTCAGTTTTATAATTTTTTTCATAATAACAAAGTAGGCATTTTATAATTTCATGAGCTACAAATTATTTTTAAATTATGATGATATTATTCAAAACAGATGTGAAAACATATGTTTTCCACAGTTGCATGAACTGCTTACTTGTCATACTTAATAAATGTTAAAACTTCTACTTTAATTTGTTCCCTTTAAACATCTAAAATCTATTTTAGTAAAATATATTTTGTATAACTAAACCAAATATAACTGATAGAACTTGATTATAGAAAGTCTCATTTAAAAATAAATTTTCCAGGCTAGGGCTGTAGCTCAGTGGCAGAGCACTTCCTTAGCATGTGTGAGGCACTGGTTTGGATCCTTAGCACAACATAAAAATAAACAAATAAAATAAAGGAATGCTGTCCATCTACAACTACAGGAAATTTTTGAAAAATAAAGTTTTCACCATAACTGGGGTGCAGTTTAATACACCACTCCTGTTTATTAAGATCCTCATCAAGATGTGTGACCAAATTATTTGATTGAAATGTATAAAGCTGCACCATTCTACAGCAAGAAATTCAGAAATGCCAATAAATACCACTGTGTATTTTATGAAAATCTGTTATCATACATCTGTACCAAGGCTTCAGCTGATTTTTCATAAGACACAATAGTGTATACTTGAGCTCTGCAGCATATAACCAGTCCTAATGCCATTTTGACTTATGGAGTTTACAGTTCCAATGGAATCATATGTGTCATGTACAGCTTGAGATTTTCCTTGGAAAAGTGCTTTACTACTAAGCTGTCCTTCAAATAGTCATGGTATGGTAGAAAAGGGCTCTCCAGAACAAATTGTTGCTGGGTTATGAATGAAGCTTCATCTTTAACTAGAATTTCATTACCTGTATAAGAATTTGGGTAGTTTAATATACTGAACCTGACTTTTTCTATTCTGACAACTATTCTGAAATAAATCATTTGCATTTTGGAGCCCCAGAGGGTATAGCATTTCAGTGTCTGGCTAAGAAAAGACAAAACATGTGGCAAGGAAACCAACCATGGATCGATGAAATTAAAATCATACACTATTCCAAATTCCGACTAAAATGCTCATCTAGGTAATTATGAAGCAAGTTTAGCCTAGAGAAGAAAGAAAAAAAAATTCCCTTAACTGTTCAGCTCATGGAGTATTTTCTACATATTATGAGCATCTTTAGTGGAGATTCCCTAACTGTACTAAAATTGTCAGACCATCTAAAAATCTGATAAGTTTACATGTTAGCTATAGTATAACTAATGATGACAGCAATAATGATGGTCGATAACATATGATTATATATTTTCCTTTTAAATCCTATCTTTGTAACCTTTTAAACAAAGTTGTGCTCAGTTTTCATTTCAGAAGAGCATCCCTTTGAAATTCTTACTCTCCTTACCTTCTTTAAACAGATATCCTAAGACAAAACTGGATACTGCACAGAGATAACACCTGCACCTTGGCAGATTAAAAGCCATGTTGAGGTCATATTTATTTGTATTCCAGATAAATACTTAGTAGATTAACCTTATAAGCTTTGGTTATGGTTTATGTGTGAGACAATACAAGAAAGCTTAGTGGTGAAATCATTGGGTTATGAGAACTTTAACTTAATCAGTGCATTGATCCACTGACAGGGGTTATCTGTGTGGCAATAGTAGGCAGGTAGGCAGATAGAGAGGAGGTGAGTGGAGGTGAGTCACTGGAGGCATGCCTTTGGGGTTTATATTTGTCACAGTGAGGAGAGAACTCTAACTCTCTCTCTCTCTCTCTCTCTCTCTCTCTCTCTCTCTCTCTCTCTCTCCCTCTCTCTCTCTCTCTCTCCCCCTCTCCTCCCTTTCTTCTTGAAGAGATGTCCCCAGCCCTCAGTTGCTTTCCTCCTCCACACCCTTCTGGCATAAAGTTGTGCCTCCCCTTCAGCCCAGAGAAATGGAGTCAGCTATCTGAAAATGTGAGTCCCTAAATAAACTTTTCCTCCTTTAAAATTTCTCTAGTTAGGCCTTTAAGACACAGCAACAAAAATATATACTAAAACAGCTTCCATTTGAAATGATCAAGTTAGATTGCTTTTGAGGGTTGAGGAAAGCAGCTTTACCCCATTATACCAACTCAGTTTTTGTAAATATAACAACAAATGGTGAATTATTTATATAATAAAAATATATATGTGTGTATGTATGTACGTTTATGTACATACATACACAAAGAGAGGCATCACATGTCTATGAATAGTTATAATGAAAGTGTTTAGGGTGAGATTTTTGACCACATGCACATAAATTTTTCAGGTAGATAGGTAAATTATAATATTAATAAACAAACTTCAGGCAAATACATTTTTTACTACTAAAACAATTTACCCAAAGCCATATATATTTATTCTGAATTAGGAAACATGGATACAATATACAAAACTGATATGTTAATTGAGTTAGTATCTGATATTTATATGTACATCAAATAAGCAAAAATCATTTTACCTTTATTATCCCTTTGGAATTTTTTGATGGTTGGTCCATTATCATGATCAACAATAAGTTCCTCTCTATTGTTGGGCATCATAACTATAAATAAGAGATGTAACTGAGTGATTCTTGATGCAAAATACCAAGAAAGGCAGAAGAGCATCACATAAATGGATAATATTCTCTAATAACATGATTTTTATATATTTGTACCTCTGTAACAGTATAACTTTTTTATTAGTCTTATGTTCATATAATTTTAAAATTAACAAGATGTTTAACCATTTCAATTTTATAGTAAAATTAATATATAGCACTTATATAATTGCCAACATATTATTTGGAGCATTTAAAATAGCTTATCTTTTAAAATCTATATGAAATCTATTTAATTCCATCATTAATAACATATTTCCCAAAATGTTTCTGGAAATAATCCATCCTTTAATAGATCATATAAATAAATGTTAAAAGTAATTTTACATTTAATTTACTATGGAAACTATGGAAACTTTTTTTCAAATATCACATATTGAAAAACTAACAGATAAAATATAACTTTCTGGTAACTACTGCAGTTCTTCACAGTATATCTATATTGAAAGAGAAAAATCATGCTAATTTTCTGAGTTTGTCCTTTCAACTGTGAATTTATATTTTATTAAAACTTTATATATAAGATATGGTCACTTTAAAGCTAAGAAACACCAAAACATTGTACTCATTTATAAATCAGCTTTTTATCATGCTTGAACAACTATAGAATGTACATATAGAGTTTAATTACTGTCATATGAATTAGAAATGTACTATGTTTTCAAGATTTTTTGTAATATATTATGATTTTTTGGAAATATTTGATTTTACTTCTAAACATGAGCTAAATATTCTCTTATGATATATCTATTCACTAAGTATATATCTTTATGTGCTCTGCTTTTAGCCAACACTCAATAAATAATACTATATATCTACATCTCTCTCTCTCTCTCTCTTTCTCTCTCTCTCTCTCTCTCTCTCTCTCTCTCTCTCTCTCTCTATATATATATATATATATATATATATATATATATAGTGGGTGTGGGTGTGGGTGTGGGTGTATCCCTTCTCCCCCCTCTTTCTTTCACTATCCTGCACCTTCAACAATAAAAGGATTATCCCAACAGCATAGTGTAAAATTTAGTTTCTTGGTTCATCAGTAATAATTCAGCTGTAGCCTCTTGTCTTACCAAGACCCCCTTGAATCAGTCATATATAAAATTGTAAGAACCAGGTAGTTTTTATTCATAGAACAGAGTAAAGCTAAAAACCTTGTTCACCTCTTTCAAGAATTAAACTTTCATCTTAGGGCCATAATCCTCAAGCTCTACCTCACTGTTTCTTAAATGGGTATGCATTTTAGAATCCCCTGAGGAGATAATAAAAAAGCAAATCAAAACACTGCTACCCAAGCTATATTCGAGACCAGGTGAATCAAACCCAGACTGTTTGGCCTGAACATCCATAGTTGTAAAAAAATGTACCAGTGATTATAATATAGAGCCAGATTTAAGAATCAAAGAATGCATTATGAAGCTAGAAATCTACAAAAAATGTATAATTTTGGCAGCCTAAGTGAGACTTGGGTTAATTTCCACAAGGGAGAAATTGCCTTCATCCTTCTCCAGAACAAAAGCAGAACTGAATGCCTTCTGAAATCCTGTAAATTTATCTCCTCCCATTAAAACACACACACACACACACATATTATTTTGGAAAGCCTGGAATCAGTCACTATTATGAGATTTGCATACATAAAGTATACCTAACATACCCATACTAAGACTAAAAGAAAAGAAAATGTGATTTCCTTAAAGAAAACAGACATATAGAAAATTGATTTCTATAGATATAAAAAATTAATGAAGAGTTTACCTAGGTCAGTTAATCCATAATTACTGTATATTAAATGAGAATGAGTTACAGCTGAATGTACCCAGTAATTTCTGTATACATGAGTGATATCTAATAGTAGGAGATGATAAACAGTCAAGGTAAAGTCACATGTAGAAAAGTAATATTTATCACCTCATATTTCCTTAGCTTTTCAAACTTCTGAAATGTTTTACACATATTATCCCATAAGACCTCCAAAGATTCAGTGTAGTCATCAGGAGGATAATCCTTTCCATATCATAAAGAAACTCATGGTGACTATACATCATACCCAGGATATTATATCTACTGTTACACCTATGGCTATATTCAAGTGTCTGATACACCATTGTACTACAATTTTCTGGAATATTATCTATGGTGTAAGATTTCTGAAAAAATAAAAAATGTAGAGAAAAGCATGTTCAATATTTGTGATCCAAATTTTTAAGACTGTGGTCTATTATATATTGCATTACTTTTTAATCACTCTTAAAAGATGAGCTGCCTAAAGAATATTTTACCTTCCATTATCCCAAATAATGCTATGAATAATGCAATGCTAATGTATTATAATGCAATAGCTCTTATCTACCAATATAACATTGAGCTAACATATATTCTACCAACAATCCTATGATATTGTTCTCATGAGATTTTATGATACAATAAAGAAATATCTTTGCACAGAACAAATTTCTGACAATTTAAGTTTCATTTTTTTGGTCATGTTGTTTCAGCAATAAAAAGTGACCACTTCAAAAAGCCATGTATGTTAAGGAAGAGTCAGCTTCTTCAGCTTCTTTCTCCCCTATCCATTGCCTAATGAGGAATTTCCTGAACAAATATCTTCCAATACTTATTTCAACAAAAATACCTACCCATTCTCTCTGACTGATGATCCATCTGAGAGGGAGAGCTGGACACACTGCTACTGGGGTGGGAGGAGGTCTGGCTCCCAGGGCGATGGCTCTCTTCCAGGGAGGGAGCAGGAGAAGGGCTCTCTGGGATCCGCTCCTGCCACAAGAGAAAACATAAAAGGAAATGCCATGTGTATGCCAAGTTTTTCAAGATGGTTGAGTCTATAAGATTTGAAATGTTGACCTCTTATCCTGAAAGTGAGTGGACATATCCACAGTAATTGGTCTTAAATATAAATCTTTAGACAAAAACATATTTCCATTATTGTGAGTTTAATGGGATATTGTGAGAGTTAAGTAACAGAAAGCAAAAGAGTTCAAAGACATTCTGGGTACATGTAGGAGACTCAAGAAAAGTTAATTTCCATTTCATTTTCTAGAACAATAATAAATAATTATAAACTTAGGTATGTAATTAAAGTTATTATTGTAAGTTTCTTGAAAGATGTAAAATTCATAACAAGGCCTGGAGAATGATACTACTATCTGACTAAAAAGAAGATCTACATGATGTAAAGAGCTGAAAGCCCTGGGAAAAACTCATAAATAGTGACAACTTAGTACATTCTTAATTTTTCTGCACAAAAATCATGGCTATGATATACATTTTTTTCTGTTAGACCTCGGGAACTGGTGCTGAATTATATTAATTGTTTTTATAGTCACAGAATACAATGATGGTTTTTTTTTTTTTTCAAACAGATCCTGTCAGTTCCTTAGTATCACTTAGATTTGTATAGTTTTAAATAATTAATTTGAATTAAAAGCAAATATTTTTATACACTTCTATCTGCTATGGCTTTCAAGACTTTTGAGATTATAAACATTGTTATAAAACACTGATGTTATTTGCCATATTTATGCATGAGAAATTATTGAATAATACTGCATCATTTCAGTTAATTTGATCAATAAAATAATCAAATTGCAATGTTTGTGCACATATGCAATAAGAATGAATGATAGACATGCTGGGTCAGGGAATATTTGTTCTATAAAATATTTAATTCATTCATAATACATTTCTTAAATTAAATATTCTAATTATCTATCATTATAACATCAGTATTCAAATCATCATAGCATCAAGAATTAGTTTATTTAATTAGTTTATTGAAAATGTACATGTTCATTTTCATATTGATTTTGCATGAGGCCCAAAATTTATAAACCCCCTAAAGAAAAACAGTGATTGTTTAATGCAAATATAATGACATGAGAATTAAAAGTTATTATTTCATTAGCTGTTGTGAACATTTTGCAATGTCTGTCATTTCATCAGGCAGAATGATGCCACCCTTTCTCTGAAGATGTGTATTCCACATCTTAATTGTCAAAACCTGTGAATATACTACATTATATGACCAAAAGGACTTTTGGAGTGGTCATTCAGAATTTTGATATAGAGAGATCATATTGGATATTGGGAAATTATCTTGATGCTCCCAATATGATCAAAAGCTTCTTAAAAGTAGAAAAGAGAAGAGGAGGATCACAATGATGCAACATTGCTGTCTTTGATGGTAGAAGAAAGGGGCTTTGATCCAATAAATATGAGTGACCTATAGAAAATGGAAAAGGCAAGAAACCTACAGAAAGGATGTAACTTTATCAGGACTTTGCTTTTAACCTTGTGAGACCCATTTGTGATTTCTGATCTACAGAACTGTAAGATAATAAATTTGTATTATTTTAAGCCACTGAATTTGTGTTAATTTGTTCTAGCAGTATTAGAACACTAATACAGTCATCAATATATTATGTTCATTATTATATGGTGTATTACATTATTGCCTAGCATTTAGTTAACATTCAATAACTTTTGTGAAATGAACTGTAGAATTTTCATATAGTAATTTCAGTTTTATGCACTAATTAAATAGCAATAATTGTAAATATACAGTATAAAGACTTCATAGCTATTGTCATGCCTTAAAAACAATATTTTAAGCAGAGAAATGTGCTGAAGGAACTTATTTATATTAAGTATACAGGAAAACATCTGGTTGTAATGTATATGAGGAACAATCAAAAGCAATATATAAATTAGACAGAAGAAAATGATCAAGTTCTCTCCACAATAATTCTATTCAATTTTGGAGGGATAATATGGGATGGACAGAAATATCTATACATCCCTCACACCACACATCCTTTCATTTTTTTAAGAGAGTAGAAGTTCATTAGTTTTGAAAGCCAACCAAAACTGTCATGGTTAAAAACATATTCTCCAGATAGTATATACATATACACATTCACACCCACAATAAAAAATTTCATATGTGAAGCCCTTTTTGTTTCTTTCACTGTTTTATTGTCACATTCATTCATACCAAAATATGTGCATAAAGTGAAAAGCATTCAGTAATTGTCTTTGAATTTTTGAATTCTAACAATGACAATTTTCTTATATATATCTATATATATCTATATATATGTATATATATACATATACATACATATGTATATAATTCAATGGATCTCCCAATTAATGGATAAGGGAAAATTACAGAAGTTACTATACAAAAATACAATTAAAGAAACAAAAGCACTGTACAATAGCCAAAGGGAATCACACATGCAGCATTATATGCCTCCATAATAAAAATGGAAAATTTTTTCAGTGATTCATACAATAGAGAGTTTGTAAAAATAAGAGGATACAAATGACAATTATACTTTGTCTTGTCCACTCTGCCTAATAAAAAATGAAAGCTTATTCTTAGTAAAGAAAGACTGGAAGAACATCAACACAAATAGAAAATTATATACATAACAAGACAAATATAATGCTATAATAAGGTATTTCCCCAACATGTTTAAAATTAGCATGTGATTGAGAAATATAAGCTTGAATCAATTATCTTCAAACTCCTTTTTTGCCATTTTCAACAATACATTATATAAAATATAAACTAACTTGAAAACATGATTTGGAGAGTCAATATTAAGAGTGACAGTAATATTTTACATGAAACAATGTTTTGCTTTAAGGTTTTGTAGCCTGCCCTTTCTAAATTTAATCTGGGTTTAGTTTTTTGTTATTATTTTCCTAAGGCAGCCTGGAGGTCAGACTTTTTTTTGCCATGTAAATCATGTTAAAGAAGTCCAGTATCTTATATTGATTTAGAATTAGTTGTGTCAAAAAAAAATCTGTGCAGAACTGAAATGTTTAATTGCTTCTCAAATAATGATAGTTCTATGAACAATGTCTTCTTTGCAAGTAAACATTCATTTTTCAGCCCTATAATCAGTATGCATCTATTTAGCTACTTAACTGCAATGTGTTTTGGTTCATTAGGTGGTTACTGTTGTGTCTCAGCCTAGTTAAAATTTCACAGCAAGTTAATCTGTTTTATTACAAATGAGAACACAAGTAATAATGTCCTCACCATTTGCCAAATACAGGGTTAGCACTATTTGCAGCAAATCAATAAGGACATTTAAAAAGGAAAATGGCAAATCTAAAACCCCAATCATTTTTAACTCATTGATGACTTCATTTTATGTGGCATTTATGACTTTTACAACCCACTTACTCTTCATGCATTTCATTTGTGACCCATCAAAAACAGCTGTAGCTCCTCTAAAACACCACAGCAATCTCCAGATTCAAAGAAGCAAAGAAGAAAGATTTCCAAAATTGATAATTCTAAAACAACCAAATTACTATTTACTCCTGCAATTAGTAAAATAATCTTAAATAACAACTCAGATTCTAACATGTATTGTATACTTCAAGAATTGTTATTAATTAGAACATACATTAACCTCCTATATCATACAATTTTCTTTGTCTTGAGATATCACAAATAGTAGAAGGAGATGTTCATCATATTAAATCATTTGAAAGCATATACTCTTTCTTCATAAAGAACAGGAACAATTCTTCAAAAATGCAGGTTTATCACACTCAATTTGGTTTAAGATTCAGTTTATTGCCAATAAAGTATCAACTCACCATTTTCATAGAGATAATTTATTTCATGTCGATATATCCCTTTTCCTCTTTGGAAATATGATGGCATACCCCGAGTTTATGAAGCACCAATATATGTGTATTAAACATCTCTATCACGTGTGTTATATGTACATGCACATGTGTTTCACTCTTTTAATGTTGACTTGTTGCCTCTGGTACTTTACTTTATTGATCCTTATCAAGCATTCAGTGGTTTTATATAATACATAATTGGTCTTGTTAGTTTTATTTAACTTGAATTCAACTCTCCCTGTAATTACTGTTCTAAATGTTAATCGATTAATGAGTTCCTAAAGGATTGAATGGCATTTCATTGCTGAGGAGTGGCTTTTGGAATTTTTTATGAATTCTAGTTATTTTACTCCTGTATTTGTCTTGATATTTCATATTCAATTGATGTGCTCCTTCTGTACTATCACAAGAGTTCTGCAGAAGGAGAGCAGATTGTAACTTGACAGTCTTTAATAATAAAATAAGGGATGGAGAAAGAAAAAAGTTTGCATTGTTACTATTAATTTGCTTTACCCCTAATTCTAGAGAAAAATTTGATGTCCAAAGTTGTTATTTTTGAATACGATTAAAAGCATGACACTTTGTGTGTCATTATGAACCAATTTAAGAATTACTCTGTTGTTGAGAGCCACAGCCAAAGGGGCCCCAGCAAACTTCCAGCTGCCAGCTGATGATTGGCTCACAGTGGCCCCAGCAAACTTCCAGCTGCCAGATGATGATTGGCTCACAGCAGCCCCAGCAAACTTCTAGCTGTCAGCTGATTGGCTCCTCTGCGGTGATGCTCATTGGGCTGTTTCCCCGCCCTTTCAGACAAGGGAGCTGCTCATTGGGGGACTTTTTTGGCTCCGCCCATGCGACCCAGCCAATTGGCCTCAAGAGAAGGAGAGGTGGGGGGGTTGAGAGGCTTGTGGGAAGCCCGTGGTGGCAGTTGGGCTCTGAGGGAATTCCTGAAGAGCTCTTGTGGTTTGGCCTGTGTGTTCTAAAAATAAAGTTCGTTTGTGCTTGGTAAGTGGCTCGTGAATTGTGCCCAGCCAGACTGCGGCATTTGGTGGCCCGCATGGGGAACAACTGAGGATAGTCCATGTTTTGCATTTACTATCCCT